AGAGAGGTCCTGCGGGTCTGCTCTCTGGGACCTGGCACCCATAATCCCACATAGTGTGGTCTTGATTGGCACACCACTGGCAAGCACCATAATTAAAAGTATAGGACCTGCAGCGGGCACTTGAAGCAGGCACACTTGTAACAGCAAAAGGGAGGGGGATGGGAGAGGGAGGGAGAAGTCTCAATTGAAATCATTCAAAATGCAGAACCTGGGGCCCCAGCGAGAGGTCAGCAGGTAGGGTGTTTGCATTGCATGTGGTTGACCCGGGTTCAATCCCAGGCATCCCATATGGTTCCCCCCACCACCCCAGCACCACCAGGAGTAATTCCCAAGTGCAGAGCCAGGAGTAAACCCTATGCACCGCTGGGTGTGACCCAAAAACAAACCAAAAAATAATAATAATAAAATAAAAAAATAAAGCAATACCTTGAGAGTTAACTAAATTAACTAAACTAAAAAAGCATTTTAGGGAACTAAAAGCATTTTAGGTAACCAAGAAAAACTAAAGATAATTTGAAAATACAACTTAATTCATCACTTTAAAAATAACACAGATAGTAAAAGTAAATATTTTAAATGCTCTAAAATTAATTCACTTTTAAGACGACAGGTTATGTGGTGGAAAATTAATTTTGAAATACAATAACTTTAAAACTTGAGGCTCCGTATAACTGAAACCCAAGCACAAAAATTTATAAGTCTACAACTGTACCTCATGGTATTTCACTAATAAAAATTTAAGAAAAAAAATTTATCATACAATAACAGTAACAATAAAGTACCATTTACTAAAATAACCTTTAAAAATAAAACAAAAAAACTTGAGGCTCCACTCCCCCCCAAAACTGGTACGTCTCAGGCTAGCTCCACCCCTCGCCCCGCCTCTGCGCCCTCTGGGGCGTGGCCTCCAGGAGCATCACCTCCGCTAGTCCTGCGCTCGCGCAGGCACGTACAGGGCCAACGTTTCTCAGGCATCCGCCCCAAGTTCCTGCGCCTGCGCTTGCCAACCGGCCGCGCGCGGTTCTCCTTTAGCAGCAGCTACCAAGGCAGTTGTGTCCTCGGGAGGCGGAGCGTGGTTCAGATTTCTGACTTCTGCAGCTGCAGACTAAGCTTCTGGGCTGCTGGCATGCAGGCTCCAGGGCTGCTAGGCGACGGGCTGCCTAAGTGGAAGGGGGGGGGGGGGTAGGCGATGGGGGGAATATGATCCCCAGAGGCACTGGGCTCTTCCCTACTATAAGTACCAAAATATATGCAGAGTGATGTATAGAGATGGATAATATACATGGTGGGTGAGGAAAAATCATTAGAACTTGAGCATTCCGTTTCTTCCACAGATGATCTTCAAGACTATAAATTATAAAAGCATTTTAGGGAACCAACGTTTAGCAAGGGTGTGTTTTTTTTGTTGTTTGTTTGGGGACCGCACCTGACGCTCAGGGCTTAATCCTGGCTGTGCTCAGGGATCACTCCTGGCGAGGTTCGAGAAACCATATGTGGTTCTGGGGGTTGAACCCGGGTTGACTGCATGGGACAAGCGCCCTGCCCAGATTACTTTGCACCCCACTTCACCCCCGCCCTTTGTGACCGTCATTCTTATAACTTCCGGGAGCCACATAACTGCAGTTTGGGGAATCAAGCAGCATTGCTGAGAACACATCCACCAATGCAAGGGTTCATGGAGGTAAGCGGAGGAGGCAGATACCCAGGCCCATGTTTTACTTTTTTAAAGTGAAATAATGTTAATACTTCAAGTAAGGAGTTTAAATTATAGTGATTTAAAAAATAAAAACACTTGCTTCGTAAATTACAGACACCAATAAAATCGTTCTGTTAAATTGGCTCTAAACTTCTCTTTTCCCTGAAATCCACTAGATGGCAGACTGATCCCACGCTCAGTCCTGAAACCTCTTAGAAGCTACTCTTGCAAATTTCTAATGATTAACCTATTTTCTGTTTTGCTACCTCCCAAAATTTTCTCCTTTCTAATAATAAAGGGAACATCTTTGCACGCAAAATTTAGATGATTTCTAGATTATAAACAGGTTCCTTTTGTATTCTGATTCAGCTCATGGCTTCGAAGACTCACAGCTTCCTTCTGGAATGCTGCTGGCTCCTCCCAAACTTATGACTTGGTGATCTTGACAAAACTCAACACCTTGATGGTTCAAATATGAACACCTGATTACTGAATGTCCTATGATTAGGTGCTCTCTACCAGAAAAGATATGTGTTATTAATAACATATGAAGATCTCTCTTGGCTGTGACTGGCAGAATTGCTTTAGGACCCCGGGGCTGATGGGAATCTGCTCATCTTCAAACGGCATCTTCTCTCATCACAAATAATTGTGGTATCATTGATTTTACCTGGTTGAATTCCTCAAAGGGCGGAACTTATCTTAGCCTAGATCTACTTCAGAAACTTCTGCTGCCCTCAAAGCTGGCAGTTTTCCTTGTCATTTACATGAGAGAACATATTCTATATATGGAAAATGCTGCCTCCAGGCACTATGCATCCTTCTAAACTGTAAGGCGTGAGACAGCTTGTCCTAATTAGGTGGGATAGGAGGATACATCCCAGCTTGCCCCAAAACCTGGATTCTTAAACAGTAGTGTGGTGATTCCCTAATTTTCATTGTCCGACCACCAATGTATTTGCCACTTCTTGCTTATCTGAAGCAAGATATAGAAGACAGATATAGTCCTTTGGGGCCTCTGCCAGCAGTGCTCAGGTTACTCCTGACTCTGCACTCAGGAATCACTACTGGTGGACTCCACGACCTTGTGGGATGCCAGGGATGGAACTTGGATTGGCCTTGTTGCAAGGCAAATCCCCTCCCCACTGTACTATTACTTCTGCCCAGATTTCAAGCTTTGACTCTGGAGTCAGACCTAAGTAACCTGCTAACAGTGTTGCTAGTTTGCTATTAGCCTTTCCCTAGCTAATCCTATTTCTTTTTTTACCAGGGAAAAAATGGCATTATATTACTTTCCTCTCTGTGTTGTTAAAATAGCAAATAAATACTATCTACCTTTATTATTCCTATGTACCTTTATTATTCTAATTATTTTAATTAGAATAAGGTCACCGTACTTGCTTCATCCCTGCCTGGGGCTGCTGAACTAACAGCACAAGGCAAGTCTCTGAAAGGTGCAGGGTATGATTCAGCTCCCCATTTCATAAAGGTGTGTAGATCGGGGTGGGAGGTTAGGTTGGAGCTGCAGCGTGGACCCCATGCGCCCTTCTCCCAATGTGCAATAAACAAACATACAAATAAATAAAACGACATTATTCTAATTCTATTATTCTAATTATTATTCTTCTGTAGAAGTCTGGAGGGATAGCACAGCAGGTAGGGCGGCTGCCTTGCCCACCCCGGCTCGATTCCTTCGTCCCTCTCCAAGAGCCCGCCTATGGAGTGTCCCACTGCTTGGCAGAGCCTGGCAAGCTCCCCATGACGTGTTCGATATGCCAAAGACAGTAACAACAAGTCTCATAATGGAGATATTACTGGTGCCTACTTGAGCAAATCGATGAACAACGGGAGGACAGTGCTACAGTGCTATGTAGAAGTCATATAAAGCGAATGTCCATTATGTATATTTTGGTGACTTATAACAGTGTAAACTGGTAACCACAGCTAAGTTGTGAGCTTTTGCAGGGCCTGGACCTTTTTGGGGGGGGGCCACTCCCGGAGGTGCTCAGGGATCATTCTTGATGGTGTTCGTGGTACCATATAAGTTTGGTTCTGTTGCGTGCAAGGCAAGCGCCTTACTCGCTGTACTATCTCTCGGGCTCCTGTATCATCAAACTTAGAGTGTCTAATAATTAAAGCATTCTGGGCAGGGTCCTGGGAGTAGCCGAATGGCACAGTCGTTCCTCCGACAGTGGGCTGACTCTTTTTTTTTTTTTAATTAGTGAATCACCATGAGGTACAGTTGTAGACTTACATATTTTTGTGCTTGGGTTTCTATTATACAATGTTCCAGTATCCATCCCTCCACTAGTACCCATTTTCCACCACCACTGATCCCAGTATCCCTCCCATCCCCGCACCCCCTTGCCTCTGTGGCAGGGCATTCTTTTTTGTTCTCTCTCTCCTTTCGAGTGCTGTGATTTGCAAAGGAGGCATTGAGTGGTAATCATGTTTGGTCTATAATCTACTTTCAGCATGCATCTCCCATCCTGGGAGGATCCTCCCAACACCCTTTATTTGGTGCTCCCCTCTCTATCTGAGCTGCCTTTTCCCCTAACATGTGCGGCTGGCCTCCAAGTCATGGAGTGAACCTCCTGATACTTACCTCGGCTATTCTTGGGTGTTAGTCTAGTGGGCTGACTCTTAACAGAAGCAAAATCCCTAAGCAGCTACCCTGCAAGGCAATAAACCAGGGAGGAGCCGGGTGGTCAGGGCGCCTCCTTCCGGCCCTTCCCCACCTCGTCTGGTCCAGGGTAAAGTCGTTTGCAACCAACTGTTTCACTGCAGCAATGCCAGCAGCGAGCTGCCCCAGGTCTAACCAAGGCATTTCAGTGTGGCACTGGTGCCCCATGCTCAACTAAAGAGGCGAGGAGCCTCCAAGACCACCCGAGGACGCCTGCAGCCCCCGCCCCCGCCCCATCCGCATGCCCAGTGAGCGACCGGGAGCCCGCAGAAGGCACCGGGTGCAACTGCGTTCCAGGCTAGTTCATCTTGTTCCCGTTTCCCTCGTTCCCGCTACCTCTGGGCTGGAGGATAGCACAGCGGGTAGGGCGTTTGCCTCGCACGGGCGGACCCGGGTTCGATTCCCAGCATCCCATAGGGTACCCCGAGCACCGCCAGGAGGAACCCCTGTGCAAAGCCTGCTGTGACCCAAAAAGCAAAAAAAGTCCGCTACCTCCTCTACGGGACCGCACCCCAGCGGGGCCTACGTCTCCGCAGGGGGGGAGGGGCTTGCGGCGCGCCGGAAGTGACGCACTACGCGCCGCACGCTCCCGCCCCGGCAACTCTGTGGCGGGAACCGGCACCTCCGGGCTGGCTGGCGGGGTTCGGGCTTCCCGGTTCCCTTTCCCTGCAAACCCCGGCAACTAGCCGGCGACGTCCTCGCTCCGGAGACGAGCGGCTGACAGTTCCGGCAGGGGCGCGGGGAACGCGCCGCGGGAGCTGGAGATAACAGGTGACCAGCCGGAGAAAAAACGGGCCTTGCCTTCGCCCCCTCCAGCCCTGCACCCACCCCAGGGGTCCCAGAGGTCCCGTTTGTTTGTGTCTGTGTGTCTGTTTCTTTATTGCACATTGGGAGGAGGGCGCATGGTTGTCCACGCTGCAGCTCCAGCCTAACCTCCCACCCCGATCTACAAACCTTGGTGGAATGGGGAGCTGAATCGTACTCTGCACCTTTTAGTTCAGCAGCCCCAGGCAGGGATGAAGCAAATACGGTGACATTTAAAACCTGATCTTGAGGCTAGAGCAAATAGCACCGCCGGTAGAACGTTTGCCTTGTACGCGGGTTCGATTCCCAGCACCCCATATGGTCCCTTGAGCACCGCCAGGGGTAATTCCTTAGTGCAGAGGCAGGAGTAGTTCGTATGCATCGCTGGGTGTGACACAATAAATAAACGAATAAATAAAACAAAAACCTTATCTTGGACTGGAGCAGAGCCTACAGATCGTAGGGTGCTTCTCCCATCTTCAGCATCCTAGGTGTTCCCCCGAATCCCCTCTAGGAGTGATCCCTGAGAACTTCCAGATGCGGCCCAAACAATAGTAATTAGGTTCACTTTGCAGCTATTGCCCCTATTTTATATCCTGTATCCGTCAGTACAGTGAAGTCGGAGTATGCTAGTTCTTGCCACACAGTCCAGTGTTCAGGACTTAACTCCTGGCAGGCTCCAAGGACCATAATGGAGTGCTGGAATCAAACCACGGTCAGCCACGTTGCACAGCAAGTGCTTTACCCGCTGTACCATCTTTCGGGCCAGTATTTTCTTGTTTAGTACAAGATTGTGTTTTCGGACTGAACTTCACTGTTTTCAAGAGTTTTTCTTTTTCTTTCATGCACCTGATCAGGAGGAAGTAACCATGCAGGCATTTCTAAAAGGTGCCTCTATCAGCACTAAACCACCACCAACCAAGGACCGAGGAGTCGCTGCCACTGCAGGAAGCAGTGGAGAGAACAAGAAGGTTAAACCTGTTCCGTGGGTGGAGAAATAGTAAGGACACTTGTATTTTTGTTGAAATAATAAGTTACTTCCCTAACTCATCTTGATCCCATTGTGGAATAGTTTGTTTTATTCAGATGCTGTCCTGAAAAATCAGAGTTAAGTCATATAATCATGTACCATGGAATGATCTAATTTGCTTCTCTTATAGATGAACTAAAAGCATTATAACTAAGTTCTTGGGTTTAGAAGTTGGGAAAGGACCACAAAGGAAAGTTTCCATAAGCTGGCTCTAGTTCTTGGTTGGTGTTCTACTAAAGTCCAAAGACTTTAGTTCCCTTTGGTTTGCTTATCTATTTTTCACAAAGAAAATAGCACTTTGGCAGTAAAATTTCAGTCAGCTAAAAAATAAATCAAATATGTCAAGCAGTTCTAGCACTATAAATATGAATGTTATTACCAAGAATTTGCAGATAATTAAACCAAATAAGATGCTCATGTTTTACTTAGCACTACAGTTTTTTTTTTAAATGAGAGGTTTGACATAAAATTTTTTAATTATTTTTTTGTTTGGGGTCCATACCCAACAGTGCTCAGGGCTTAATCCTGCTTCTGGGCTCAGTGATCACTCCTGATAGTGCTTAGGGGACCATATGTGGTACTGGGGACTGAACCCAGGTCCAATGAGAGTAAACAAGTGCCTTGCCTTCTGTACTATCACTCTGGCCCTATATAAAAATTTTACAAGACCAAAATCCTAGGTGTTTTAGCTTTCCAGAAGATTGTGTAATAGTAGGCACAGATTGTCTCCTGATGACAGACATGAATACTGCTTATCATTTTGAAAGGTCATTTGTTCTTCAGTCCATCATATTCCATATTATCCTTGCCTTACACTCTGCCACCTTCACTCTTGTTACTTGCAGGCATTTAAATAGGAGACCCTGATTTGTAACATACACAGGTTTTTTTAGAAATTATCTGTCGTAAAATTCTTGCTTGGCATTGGCCTAGGTAATTAAAGAAAATGGGGATCAGAGAAGACCTTTTGCTTAGTTAACTAAACAAAAAGCCTCATCTTGGGTTGGTGTATAAATTTACTCCTATAGACTCGGGAGATGGCTCAAAGTTCCAGAGAGCATGCTTTGTATACCAGAGGCCTCGGTTTGCTAAAGTACCATATAGCCCCTGTAAAACACCTCCAGGAATGACCTCTGAGCACCAGAAGAAGTGTGCCTTTTATTAATTAAATGGACAAATAAATTGGTTCCAGCTCCACTTAAATCATTAAAAAATACATTGTGTTAATCCTCAAAATTAATAAGTCTGCATTTTATGTGTAGTAAAATGATGAAAGAATTTGGTATTCGCCAGACTAGAGAGACAGGACAGTCTGGCCAAATCCATGCTGTATTACCAGAGAAATAGTGATTCCACACAGGGTGTAGTGAAAAAAAGAGAACAAAAAAAAGTTTTTCCTTTTTGAAATTCTCATTTTGTTTTAATCTATGATAATTACAGCTAGTTTAGCAGGAGGGATATTTGAATACTTTACGTGGCTACAGTGATAAATATTGTAATAGAGTGGTATCTCTTTTTTTTTCCTCAGTCGCCCAAAATGTGTGGATGAAGTTGCTTTCCAGGAAGAAGTAGTTGCAGTGCTGAAAAAATCTTTAGAAGGAGCTGATGTGAGTAGCAAATGACATTTAATGACGTTGGGAGATTAAAAACTGTTTACCCTCTTCTTATACAACTTTCTTCTCCCATTAAATTCAATGCTGTATATACAGTAGTCATCTGGTAATATATATGAAATAACTAATTGGTACACTGGGTGATTTAGTTCGGCAAACCCTGGGCCAGAGAGATAGTACAGCAGGTAAGGTGGGCCTAAGTCAAGATTTTTAATGTTACCGGATTGACTACCACCTCACCTGTTCGTTCCCTTTCCAGAAAAGATTCAGACCAGGACTGGAGGGGGATGGAAATAAGCTCACAGTGTTTTCATGGCCCCGTCAGGCCTTTCAGTAGCTTGTCTTTGGCATGAGGAGGCTGAGAACACACATGCCAATGGCCAGTTCCCTAGGTGCTTTATTGTTGGTTTTTTGGTTTGGGTTTTTTTTTTTTTTCAGCTCCCTAGGTTTTCAGGAAAGGGAATGAGTTTTTTTGTTTGCTTGATTTTTAATTACAGCGAGATACACAGTTACAAAGTTGTCCCTGATTCGGTTTCAGACAGTGTCCAACTATAGTGTCCCAACACCCTTCCCTTCACCAGTGTACATTTCCCACCACCGATGTCCCCAGTTTCCCTACCCTCCCCGCTACATACTCACCTGCCTCGATGGCAGGGACTTTCCCCCCCTCTTTTTCCCTCCCCTCCCCCCCCCCCCCATGCATGCTTGCATGCAGGGCAAGTCCCTTACCTCCTGAACTCTCTCCAGATACTTTGTATCTTAAAGCATAACAATACAGCTGTAGTAGATACACATTTATATGTTTGCTGATTTATTTGGTGTGTATTGAGTACTGTACAAGCTGCTGAATAACAGATATGAAAACAAATTAAGTTCTTGGCCTTCTTATGGGCAGCTAATCTACAGTTAAACCCAGCTACTCAAACAAATAGTAAATGCAGATCAAATAGTAACTGCAGATTGAATAAAGTTCAACGAAGACTGATGAGAAAAATAGCAAGGAGACTCACTTTAGATGGGTGGTGAGGGAAAGCATCTAACTTACAATGCAGTAGGAATTAGGAGGCAGAAAAATAACTCAAAGACCAGCCTAGTTAAGACTATAGCTTCCTTTTTATTTCTTTTTATTTCATCTTCAAGATACCTTACATCACTAGCCTGCATTTATAGGAACTTGCACTGTAGCACTGTCCTCCCGTTGTTCATCGATTCGCTCGAGCGGGCCCAGTAACGTCTCCATTGTGAGACTTGTTGTTACTGTGTTTGGCATATCCAGTACATCACGGGGAGCTTGCGAGGCTTTGCCGTGCCGGCGAGATACTGTCGGTAGTTTGCTGGGCTCTCAGAGGGTCAGAGGAATCGAACCTGGCTTGGCCAGGCCAGCTGCGTGCAAGGCAAATGCCCTACCGCTGTGCTATTGCTAGAGCCCATAGGAACTCAGTGAATAAAATATTTTTAAAAGCTTACCAACCTTCAGGAAGAATATTAAAGGAAACTTGGTAGTCCCCTTAAAAATAAGAATTTTCTGGGGCTGGAGAGGTAGTATAGTAGGTAGGGTGCTTGCTTGCCTTGCATGCAGCCAACACAGATTTGTTCCCTGGCATCCCATGTGGTCTCCAAGCATCATCAGAAGTGATCCCTGAGAGGAGGGCCAGGAGTAAACCCAACACAGAATGTACCTCTTCTTCATTTTCTTCCTGGCCTCCCTCTGCCCAAAAGAAATTTCCAATTCAGTTTTGAAAACTCTGCCTTAGTGAATTGTTTATAAAGCAATTATGAATATTGATTGACCTTTAGATATTAGAAAGATCTCTTTTTCATGTGTGTGTGGAGAGAAAAAAGTCATAGTACTATGTGAAAAAATAAGAATTAGAACTGTTAACTATTCATCAGTTATATTAAGAAATGAGTATATATACATTTTCATGCCCTCTTCTATTATGGAAACATTGTGCTCACTCATACACATTTTTAATCATCACACTTTCATCTGTTTATGCCAGAATACACATTTAAAAAATAATTTTTTTTCCCCACAGCTCCCTAATCTTTTATTTTATGGGCCACCTGGAACTGGAAAAACATCCACTATTTTGGCAGCCGCTAGGGAACTTTTTGGGTAAGTGAAAAGAGCATACTGGAACCAAGAGATTTGGTACAAATCTCTAAAAGGCTTATTTTCTAAAAGTTTACTTTCTGTAAAAGTTTGCACTTGACGTCCTTTCTCTAAAAGTTTGCATTTGGCTTTACTGAATGTGTTGTTTGTTTTCATTTCTAAATTTTTAAATTAGTACCTTTTCGTTCATATCTTTCCAGTAAATGAGCTTACCCTCATCTTATATAACTTTCCTTTTTATTTTTTTTTAAATTAAGGCACTATAATTTACAAAGTTGTTGACAGTAGGGTTTTGGGTATATGATGTTACAGCTGCGTTTCCTCTATGATTGTCCACATCCCGCCACTGGAGACCCCAGATACTCTCCCCTCCCCCCACTTTCTCCTTGAGAAACATGGTTTTTTTGGGGGGGTGGAGATGGGAGCAAGGGGATTGGGCCACACCCAGCAATGCTCAGGAGTCACTCCTGGATCTGCACTCAGTAATTACTCATGGCAGTGCTTGGGGGACCATTTGCGGTGCTGGGGATCTATCTGGGTTGACCTCATGTAATGCAAGAGCCTTACCCCCCTGTACTATTGCTCTAGTAGCTCCTTTAGCCCTTCTTTTAGGTTTGGTTTTGAGTCTATGAAGTTCCTGAGCTGCTGTTTATCCAGAAAAATAGTGTACCATTCCTTTGAGTTTGAGTGAGAGTTTAGCCGGATAGAGTATTCATGGTGAAGTGTTCATTTTAGTGAGTTTTTTCACTATATCCCACCATTGCCTTTGGGCTTGGAGGGTTTCCTCTGATAGGTCTGCTGTGAATCTAAGGGATGCTCCTTTGTATGTGATTTCCTTCTTTGACCTTGCTGCTTGCAGTATTTTGTCTCTGTCCACGGCATCCATCATTCTAACTATGATACGTTTTGGAGTGTTTTTGTTAGGGTCTCTTTTAGCTGGAACCCTTTAGTCTCCTTGAATCTAAATGACTGCATTGTCCAGCTCTGGGAACTTTTAAGCAATGATTTGTTTAACCATGGCTTTTTCATTGGGATTGTTTCCCTGACCTTCCTCTACTCCAAGGTTTCTAATGTTGTTCCTCTTGGAATCATCTCCTAGGACTCTGATTCGCCCTTGAGCTATTTTGAGGTCTCTTGCCATTGTTTGTTCTTGCCTATTGGTTTGGTGCAACTGATCTTCCAGCTCACTGATTCTGTCTTCAGCTGTGGCCATTCTACTGTTGAGGGCACAGACTTAGTTTTTTATTTCATCTAGGGAATCTTGATTCGTGACATTTCTGTGCGTAGCTTTCCAATTTCTGCTCTCATTTCTTCCTGGGTTTTCTCAATTATCCGATCCATTGTTTCTTTTATGTCCTCCTTCAATTTACTGGATATCTGTCTGTTTCATTGAGTACCTTGATTACTTCATATCTGATTTTTTTTTTTTTTTTTTGCTTTTTGGGTCACACCCGACCCGGCGATGCACAGGAGTTACAACTGGTTCGTGCACTCAGGAATTACTCCTGGCGGTGCTCAGGGGACCATATGGGATGCTGGGAATCGAACCTAGGTCGGCTGCATGCAAGGCAAACGCCCTATCCGCTGTGCTATTGCTCCAGTCTCTATATTTGAATTATTTCTCAGAGAGGTCCCCTTAGGTGAGTAGCACCTACTGAGGCTTCTGGACTCATCATACTCCCCACGTGGTAGGGATTTGCGTTGTTTCTTCATGTTCGTATGGCGGTATGGACACTGAGATATTACTTGAGATTGCTGGGTCATAGCAGATTACCTGGTGCTGGTAGCAGCGGCCCGCCCACTTCTACAGAAGCCACACCCACTTCTGACAAGGCCACACCCCCTACAGGTACCTGGTTGGGGAGGGGGTGCAACCTGGGGAGGAAGGAGACAGGCACAGAATTGGGGACGAACAGGAAGAGGCTCAGTGATGGTGAGCGTCCCAGGGTCCTAGAGGACTCCTGGGGCGTGTACGCAGAGAAAGCCAAGTCCTATAATGAAATTTTTAAGAAGTTCATTATTATTCTAGAAAAGGTCATTCCAAGTTACATAACTTTCCTCTTTTGCAAGGATCCACACCTATTCCCAGCTCAGTGTTTAGGAGCCACTCTAGATAATTCTCAGGGTCCCTTGTGGCACCAGGGATCAACTCCTGGGCGTCCGCGTGCAAAGCATGTGTTCCAACCCTTTGAGCCATCTCCCCAGCCTAAATTATACGTGCCTTTTTATAATTCTTTTTTTGTGGTCCGTGCAAAAGTGATAGTATAGTAGATAGGGTGTTTGCCTTGCAGTGATTGACCCAAGTTTGATCCCCGGCACCCCATATGGTTCTCTGAACCTGCCAAGAGTCAGTCCTGAGCACCACAGGGTATGGCCCATAAAAACCAAAAAATTATTTTTGTTATTTCGGGTCATACCTGGCAGTATTTAGGGGTCATTCCTGGCGGTTCTGGGGAGATCATGCAGTGCCAGAGATCAAAAGAGGTTCGCTACATAAAAGGCAAGTATCTTGACTCCTGCACTATCTTTCCAGCACAATGTTCTGTCATAAATTTATAAAAACAACGACCAGAAAGAAACTTGAAACAGTGCTTTGGCAGAGTATGCCAGTTGTTTTTATGTTCTTTTGTTTTCTCATATTTTTTTACAGTGAGCTACTTTTATAAGGACTATTTTTAGGACCAAGAAGATGGCTTAGAGGGCCAGAGTACTGGAGCCTCAGTTTCAGCCCCTAGTACCACCACGTTGTGGTATTAAAAACAAAAAAAAATTTATACCACTTGTTTTTTTATAGTGCCAGGATCAAACCCAGGGCCTCACACATGCAAGACAAATCTTCTACTGCCAAGCCATCTCCCTGACTCACTTAAACCATTTCAGATTCCCAGAATAATCCTTACAGCTAACTACCCTATGGAAATAATTCAAAATATACTATACTTGGGGCCAGGAGCAATAGTACAACAGGTAGGGTGTTTTCCTTGTACATGACCCAGTTTCGATCTGCAGCATCCCATATGGTCCCCTAGTGCCCCAGGAGTAATTCCTGAGTGCAGAGCCAGGAGTAACCCCTGAGCATCACCAGGTGTGACCCCAAAAGAAAAAAATAATAATAAAAAACTAAATTTACTATACTGCAACATTGTTTAAAATGGTAACAATTATAAGGTAGAGTCAGGTAGCTTTTTTTTTTTTTGAGTCAGGTAGCTATTAAAATGGTATTTACAGTGCTTGTGGTGACAAGGTGACTGATAGACTCCTGCATAGAAAATTGATTTAAATTTATATTTTTATTATGTAGTAGCATCTACCTTTTTTTTCCCTTAATGGTTGGAACAAAGCCAAAGTGTTAACTTCATGTTACCCTAAAAAGAGGAATACAGGGCTGGAGAGTTAGTAAACAAAGGCTAAGGAGTGGGGCCAGAGCAGTAGTACAATGAGTAGGGCGTTTGCCTTGCATGTAGTAGACCTGGGTTCAATCCCCAGCATCCCATATGGTCCCCTGAGCACCATCAGGAGAAATTTCTGAGTGCAGAGCCAGGAATAACCCCTGAGCATTGCCAGGTGTGATGGGAGGGAGGGAGGGAGGGAGCGAGGGAGGACAGGCTTGCCTTTCATGCAACTTGGTAAGGTCCACCCCAAGCACAGCCATGGTTCACTCCTGAGGAGTCTGGGTGTTGCCCTCAAACAAGGATAAAAAAAATACTGGAGTGGTTGTCAACATTTTATCCATATTGTTCTTAGGCAGTTTTTTAACTTTGTTTCATTTTGACACAGGCCTGAGCTTTTTCGATTAAGAGTTCTTGAGTTAAATGCATCTGATGAACGTGGAATACAAGTAGTTAGAGAGAAGGTGAAGAATTTTGCTCAGTTAACTGTGTCAGGAAGCCGTACAGAGTAAGTAAGCTCACCTTCTTTTCTCTGTAGTCTGTCATTGTATTTGTTTAAAAGTACATGGCTGGAAAGAGAGTGTTGAGGACTCTGGGGACGATGGTGGAGTGAAATGAACACATGGGTAAGGGCTGTAATACTGGAATGTTATATGCATGAACCCTATCTTTGACAGTATTATAAAAGTAATAAAGCAAAAATTAAACATTTTTACATAATTCATAAAAGTACATGCTTCTGCCAAATGTCTAGCTTCTTTTTCTGTTAGATCACTTTTGTTGTTTTATTTTGGGTTCATACCCAGTGGTGCTCAGGAGTTCTGGTCCTGCACAGGGTTCTTCCTGAGGGGTTCTTTGGACCACAGTGGGATGTTGGGGATCTGACCTGGGTTGGCCACTTGCACAGCAAGCACCCAACCCACTATACTATAGCTCCAGCCCCTAGATCACATTTCAATCTATTTCAGTTTTTTAAGCACAGAAATTATATTTAATATCTAATAACTAGTTTAAATTTATTTACTGTTCAGGGGTTTTTTTTCTCTGTTTGGGTCACACCCGGCAATGCACAGATGTTGCTCTGGCTCTGCACTCAGGAATTATACTTGGCAGTGCTCAGGGGACCATATAGGATGCTGGGAATTGAACCCAGATCAGCCGCGTGCAAGACAAACACTACCCGCTATGCTGTTGCTCCAGCCCTTGTTCAAGGTTTTTATAACTGATAATTTTATCTAAGAAATAGTAATCAATTAGATAGCTGGGTCAGATATTGTGTATATTTCATAATCATGTAAGTTCTTGCCCAAACTGAGATGTTCAGGCCTAATTACAGCTTGTAGGGCACTTGCCTTGCATGCAGTTGACCCAGGTTCAGGCCCAGCACCACCTATGGTCCCCTGAGCCCTCCAAGAATGATCCCTGGTCACAGTAGGGATCTAGTAACCCCTGAACACTGCCAGGTGTGGCCAAAAAAAAATTTTTTTTAGAACAAAACTAAAATGCTCTTAAAGAGAAAGTGTTAATAATTAAAATATAACTGCCCTTAAATAAGGGTGTGTATACTCCTAATGGAATTTACTTCCACTATTAAATTTTTGGTATCTGATCTATATCAAAATTTTATAAGGGCACTCATATTTATAGAAGGTGAATGACTGTATTTTCATATCCACCTCAGCTTAACCATGCATATAAATTTTATATCTGAGGACCAGAAAGATCACTCAATGGGAGCCTTGACAATAATGTTTTTAAGTGAGATTTCATATGAATTAAGACTCCTGTGTATTTCTTTGAATCAGTGGGAAGCCATGTCCTCCTTTTAAAATTGTGATTCTGGATGAAGCAGATTCCATGACCTCAGCTGCTCAAGCAGCTTTAAGAAGAACCATGGAGAAAGAGTCTAAAACCACACGATTCTGTCTCATCTGTAACTATGTCAGTCGGTATGTTTATTGTCCTAAGGTAGAATCAAGGTGGCCTAATTTAAGAAGGGGGGGGATTTTTATTGGGGGGTCACACCCAGCGATGTACAGGGGTTACTCCGGCTCTGCACTCAGGAGTTACTCCTGGCAGTGCTCAGGGGACCGTATGGGATGCTGGGAATCGAACCCGGGTCGGCCGCGTGCAAGGCAAACGCCCTACCAACTGTGCTATCTCTCCAACCCCAGGAAGGGGGGGGAGAGATTTTTAAACTGTATTAATGTATTAACTACATCAAAAATGTTTTTTGATAAAAATTAGTTATTTGGGGAGATTCTTTAGATACCAACTGTCCTTTTCCAATGTTTTACAGAATAATTGAACCCTTGACCTCTAGATGCTCTAAATTTCGCTTCAAACCTCTCTCAGATAAAATTCAACAGCAGCGATTACTAGACATTGCTGATAAAGAACATGTCAAAATTAGCAATGAGGTAATTATTATTAAATTGTTGTAATTATTAATTCCTTTAACAAATGCATATGAGGATACCCTGAGTCAGTTATTTGTTACTTCAATTTCAGAGCTCCCAAACTAGGGCAGAGTTATACGTATAATTTTTTTTTTCCTTTTTTGCTTTTTGGGTCACACCCGGCAATGCTCAGGGTTACTCCTGGCTCTGCACTCAGGAATTATCCCTGGCAGTGCTGGGTGACCAAATGGGATGCTGGGAATTGAGCCCGGGTCGGCCGCATGCAAGGCAAATGCCCTACCCGCTGTGCTATCACTCCAGCCCCATACGTATAATTTAAATTCTACAACAGCAAATCTGTGCAAAGATATTACTCTAGCAAATATTCTACTTCAGAAACCAATGTGGTACGATCACTGTATCACTGTTATCACTGTCATCCCATTGTTCATCGATTTCCTCAAGCCGGCACCAGTAACTTCTCCTTCGTCCTAGCCCTGAAGTTTTAGAAAGTGCCACATTGGAGGCTCTTTCAGGGTCAGGAGAATGAGACCCATCATTGTTACTGGGTTTTGGCATATCAAATACGCCACGGGGAGTTTGCCAGACTCTGTCGTGCGGGCAGGATACTCTTATTATCTAGCGGTATGATATAATTCTGGTAATATCATAGGATATATAGACCTTATTCGAGAAGAATACAATCATAATTTGAGAAATTATATAATCAAAATAGTATGAGTATGGAACATCTGTTTCTGTGAATTTCTGAGGCAGGTCTCTTGTGCTGTCTCTGATTTCTGCCACTCAAAAGTTACTTCATTAAAAGTAGGAAAGTTTTAACTAGGTTTCGCATTTGTTTGTGGATTTTTTTTAAAGCCTTTTTTTCCTTTTCCAGGGAATAACCTATCTTGTTAAAGTATCAGAAGGAGACTTAAGAAAGGCCATTACATTTCTTCAAAGTGCTACTCGATTAACAGGTGGGAAAGAGGTTACAGAGAAGGTGATCACAGACATTGCTGGGGTAAGATCACTAGGTATTATTCTTTCAACTGCAGTGCCTGTGGTGTAGATAGGTGAAAATCACTGGTTTTAACTACCTTGGTTGCTGGTTTAGAATACTCCTGTCAATCAAATTAAAGACACTCACTCTAGTTGTAGTTCCATTCATTCACCATTATTAAATCGACCTCTGGTCATTTCTCTCAACTCACATAATAGACACACCTGGTTTGTTGTGTGGGTGAGTGGTGGAGCGGGTCAGTGCCCATGTGATGGTCAGGAGTCCCAGGGGCTTCTTTTGGGGTCTCTCTTAAGCCAGCAATTCAAAGTCAAGTCCCTACAGGGATTACCGAGGCCACCCTAGTGTGCTGGAGAGTGGAGGGGTCAATGGTGCTGGCATCTCGGAGATGCTCAGGTGACCATGTGGTAGTAGGGGTCAACTGCAAGCAAAAGTTGCTCTTTGACCCCTATAGTTGTTTGTGGGCTAACAAAGCACATTTCTGACACTCATGCCACATTTCATCTTGAAAAGCCTAAATCCTAAAAAATAATCAACTCGTTAAGTCTCCTTTTGCACTGCCGTAATAGAGAAAAATTGCCCTTAAGTATTTTAAAATTGGTTGGTGTGGTTTGGGCCATAGGCAGTAATAATGTCAGGGACCTCTCCTAGTATATGTGGTAATAGGTAAATTGGGGGGGAGGGGGACGCCACACCCAATAATGCACAGGGCAAGTTACTCTTGGTGATCCTTGGGGGGACCATATGGGATGCTGGGAACCCAGGCTGACCATGTGCAAGGCAAAAACACCCTACCTGCCATGCTAGCATCACTCCAGCCATTTTAATCCTGCACTACACAATACAGCAATGGCTGGGTATTGCACAAAACATGTAGCTGTGGGGTTGTATAGAAAAAAGTGGCTTCAAGAAAAAAGTATGAGTTAACATACTCTTTAAAAAATTTAACTTTTTTAGGTAATACCGGGAGACACTATTGATGTCCTATTTGCTGTGTGTCAGAGTGGGTCATTTGACAAATTAGAAACTGCGGTGAAGGTAAATTTAACTACCAACTGTATGGTTAACTATAGAGCTTTTTTCTACCTGCTTTCTTAACTGGGGTGCTGAATATGCCTTACAGGATTTAATAAATGAGGGACATGCAGCAACTCAGCTGGTAAATCAACTTCATGATGCTGTTGTAGAAAAAGATGATCTTTCTGATAAGCAGAAGTCAGTCATAACTGAAAAACTTGCTGTAAGTATTTTTTGTATTGTCTTTTTAAAATATTTAAGGCTGTCATATATTCATGTCATTCATTCTTTTTCAGGAAGTGGACAAGTGCTTAGCAGACGGTGCTGATGAACACTTGCAACTGATTAGCCTCTGTGCTACTGTGATGCAACAGCTGACCCAAAATTGTTAAATTTTTTGTATGTGAAATAAATTTACCAGTACACATTTTAAAGTGAATATACAATTTATTAAACATTCAAACTTCATTAAGACATGTGCAATATGGCAATTTTACTTGGGGTTATACCCTACTAAGATATGATTGCTTGCTGGGGCTTAGCAACAGGGTCCAGTTCACACTTAGCACTAATTAAATACTTTATTGAATAAATACAATACCAAAACAAAATGCATTCAAATGCTTCCTAGAAAAAAAAAAGGTCAATCTTAAGGGCCTGTCTATTGAGGCTAATGACAAGTACAATAAAGGCAGGTATGCTAGTTTAACATAATTGGCTGATTTTATACAGCACTTATATCTTTTAGTCCACAAGTATATTATTAAATGATAGAGAACATCTAATACAACCATTTCTACATAACTAGGAAATAAATTTCTAAGAAAGAAAGATTTTACAGACCCCATCTTTTATACCCAACCCCAACAGTCTAACTCTAGAGGATAAGCCAATGGCTTTCCTCACAAGAGCTCACGACTAAAGTCGCTTTGCTATCAAAATCTGTATTTCTGATCCGTTATGAACATTGAGACAAGATTCAAATATTCCCAAAGAAAGAAGCACAATGCACGTTGTGATCGCCTATTCAGCAACAGCGAGCACTGCATTCAAAAATTATATCTCATCCCAGGAATTAAATAAGGTCAGCCACATTCATTGGCATCTCCTCCACTGTAGTATTGTAGAAAGTCTCAATGTCACGAAGAATCCTCTTGTCTTCTTCAGTAACAAAGTTTATAGCCACACCTTTCCTCCCAAATCGACCCCCTCTGCCAATTCTGTGTAAAAAAAAAAGAAAAAAAAAGAAATCACGAATTAGGATGTCATCTATTGTGTTACATGAACTACTGAACATGATGATCCACTTGTTAACCATCAGCTGCTGTTTAATTTATCAAGGTCATAGTTCGTGCGTGCTTGTAATTGGAGCACTAGTTGCTGCTAATCAATATCTAGAGAAAAGAATTTTCCTTTGCAGTTAGTGCCAAAAGGATTCAAACAAAGGCTTGTCTGGCTGCAAAATGAGATTTGTCCGGATGTCTTGCCTTGAGCATTATTTTTTTTAAAGCAGATGACAGTACAGTGTTTGGGGTAGTGAAATTAAGCCCATACCAAACTGGGCCAGCCAAGAGCAGATGTCAGCCTGGGACAGATGTAAACACCAGGGATAAAACAAAAAAAGAAGTTATGTAATCCATTTCGACGCACTTCTGGAACAGTAAACTGCAAATACAAATGCTACAAGAGGTTAACTATTTTCCAGAACTTACTTTTTCCACTAGGTAAAAGTATTTGGTATGGTGACCCAAACTTATCACTGCTTTTTTGCTCAGTTTTCACACGTTTAACACAAAATTTACTCAACGTGTTACACTTCCAAAACAACTTTCTACCTTCCTGATAGAAACCAGACAATACAAACCACCTAACAAGCTAACAATCATTGCCTTGGCTGGAACAACTTAAAATATCACATAATCATGACAAAAGAAAAACAAATATAAATACCGACTCGCTCTTTATTCAAACAGTGTGCTGTTTCGCTTATGATTCCACGTCCTAAATTACGTCAACGCCGTTTCTGAGTGCCATCTCGTCATCAACTGCCGCTATCGACTCCTGTATTTTTTAAAAAGTCTTTTTTTACATCATATAACAAAGTACAATTCAATTTATTTAGGGATAAAGCCACTATTAACTAACCAGGGTCTGCTCAAATTGCTACCAGATGACACCGACAAACTCCCGTCTTCACCAGGAAAACTTGTACACAAATCACTAAGCTCAAGCATAAACTAAGACCAACAAGTCTAAAAACAACCTGATCTCTGTAACAAGTGCACAATTTGGTTAACAATTACAGCTGTTTTCCCATTGTGTATGACCAGTGTTCCTGAGTACAATTACAGCTTTCCAAACAAACTACTATCTTTATTAACCCTAATTCCCTCCGGTGAGATAGCCATTTCACCAAGGTAAAGAAAGTAGTAAGTGAATTCATTTTACAACACATTAACAGATAGCATTCACTCACCTGTGAATATAGTTTTCACGATTGGTAGGAAGATCATAGTTTATAACTAATGACACTTGTTGCACATCAATTCCACGAGCCTGAGAGAGATTGGACAGATTATTTCAAATGCTAAATTATAAAAATTTATCTACGTCATTAATGTAGGCCACAAGTTAGTAGCAAGCTATATGCTGAGTGATATAGCCACTGTGGAGTGTGGTCTTCAACTTTATTCTCCCAAAAAGCTCAAGCTGGCAAAGGTTACTGAAAAACCTCCCCAAAAGAAGAATCTTTTGGTAGATGAAAAGCAAGCAACGAGAACTTACCAACAAGTCAGTAGTGATCAGAACACGGCTTGATCCTGACCGAAATTCTCTCATGATAACATCTCTTTCCTTCTGGTCCATGTCACCATGCTGCAAATTAACAGACCTTAATTGAAGACTCAAGAGAATTCAGTAAACTTTAATTTTATAAGCATGTATGAGACCAAGCGTCCCTGGCTGCTACAGGTGTCAAGCAGACAGGTATAGTTAAGAAACAACTTTATTTTAAGCAGGGGAAACGACAACACAGCACTTACACAGCTATATTGTAGTCTTAAATCCTGCTTGAACTAAAAAATGGATATCCCTTCCCCACCCCCCAATTCGCTGTTATCGCAAGGTTAGAATACACCTCTTACCAAAGCAGAAACTGTGAAGTCCCTGGCGTGCATTTTCTCTGTAAGCCAGTCCACCTTGCGTCTTGTATTGAGAAAAATGACAGCCTGCGTAATCGTCAGAGTCTCATACAAGTCACAAAGCGTATCCAACTTCCATTCCTACAGCAAAGAATGTTGTGGTTATTCTCTAAACTTTTTCCATCTTGTTCTCTTGGTCAGAATTTCACTCTGGAATTATGACATATTGCACCAGATCTTAAGACAAAGGACACTGGACATTAAGAAAGAGGTCCACCCCAGTCTTTACAATCTAGTGCAGTTACTTTTCTTCTTGTGTGTACTCTGCTAGCATTATTGCAAAAACCAAGATGTACTCCTAGTTTCTGCAATTTTAGCACAGTGCTTATACAAGAAGGTAGGGCAAAAGTATCTGGTTATATTCTCGAGCTTAATGATTAGGCAAATTACCTCTCTCTCGACATTAATATAGAACTGTTTGATTCCTTCAAGGGTCAACTCTTCCTTTTTCACAAGGATTCGAATGGGATCTCTCATAAATTTTTTGGTCACTTCCAACACATCAGTTGGCATTGTGGCAGAAAGCAACACAACCTTCAAAGAAACAATGAATTCCGTTGAGCAAGTAGCACAATTTTCACAATAATGCTCAAGATAGTTATGTTTGAGGCCAAGCGTCTCTGTCCTACTACAGAATTGCGCTAGACAGAGATAGTATGCTTCAATTACTTTAAGCAGGGGGAACGACAATAGAACACTTTTCAGTTGTATTGTAACAGTTCCTGCATTTACTTGTAACAGTTACTGCATCAACTCAAATTTAAGAGTTGAAAACTCACCTGAATACTTGTATTTAGTTTTTGAAAAATCTCGTAGATTTGATCCTTAAACCCCCGGCTCAACATCTCATCTGCTTCATCCAAAACAAACATTTTGATCCATTTTGGAGCTGTTAAAAAAAAGTTAAACCATTAACTTCCAGATTTTCAGGAATGCTGTATTTTAAAACAGTACAAAACTTCTAATTCAATAGCGAGACTTACAAAGGTATCTTCTGTTTAACATATCAAAAACTCTCCCAGGTGTACCAACAACAATATGTGGTGCTTCAGCCTGGAGTTTTTGCATTTCATTTCGAACATTGGTTCCACCAATGCATGCATGACAAGTTGCTCCCATATAATCTCCAAGTGCCAGAATGACCTTTTGGATCTGAAAGTCAAAGCCTTAATTACTATTCAGCACAATTCCAGACTCTCAACTTCAGAAGCATACTGACAAGTAACTGGTTTGCAAACAGCTTTTATGCATGCATAACATCAAACTATTCCACGTTGTTAAAAAAGCAGAGTTTATCTGCTTCAAAATAAAATTCCCTTCAAGTAACTTTCTTTCCTTGTGCTATGTCAATCCTGGAATCCTTGTGCCCCACATTATCAGCTAGGTTAATGAAACAAAGACATTTCCTACCAAACTTCCAATGTCAGTGAAGGTGTAAATAGTTCAACAAGCTCTGCCATTAGGGAAGTTATCTTTCCCTCTGGGTATCTGTGACTTTAATTTTGCTTTACTGCCTACAGTTTTATCAAGGCTTACTTAAAGCCAGTATAGCAATGAGCTTTGAAAACATAGCATGCAACAGATGCATCACAAACTACTGAGACAGTCAAATAACATGTCACTGCAGTTTTCATGTTGCACAACTGCATTGAAACTTAATGGGGACAGATCTAGTCCACTCTGAAGAGGAAACGTCAAGTTTCAGCTACAGAACCCTGCAAACCATACCTGCACACCCAGCGCCTAACTTGAAGCATCAACTCCCTGCATGCATGGACAGTTAAAAGGAGAGCTCGAAAGGACCAATTTATGCTGTTTTCAATTCTTCACAGTTGTGAAACCTGAAACCTATGCAACACGCAAGCAGTTTTTTTTTAACTACACTATCAATACCTGTTGAGCCAGTTCTCTGGTGGGGGCCAATACTAGTGCTTGGGTCTCCTTGAACTCAATCTCCAACTGTTGCAGGATGGAAATAGCAAATGTGGCTGTCTTGCCAGTACCTGACTGAGCTTGAGCAATCACATCATACCCTAAAAAAAGTAGGATACACATTTACCGATCCCACACCAAACCGTCACTTCGAGTTCACACCACGTATTCCATTTGGAACATGAACCATGCCCCAACAATCAAGTGATCAGCATGAGTATTCTCTTCATTTCAGATCAGTCCCGAAAGATGATTGCCATCATTTCACTTTAAGGAATACGAGCAAGGTGCCAGTCCCCCAGGGTTTTCCCCCTTCTACGAGGGCACCGCGATTAAAAAAAAAAAAATCGATCCAGCCCCGAGCCGTTTTCCTTACCTTTGATACAAGGAATAATAGCTCTCTGCTGGATAGCTGAAGGCTTCTCAAAACCGTAAGCGTAGATGCCCCGGAGCAGAGACTCCTTTAAGTTCATATCATCAAAGTTATCAACAATCTCATTCCAGTTGCTCTGCGCAGGCCGGGACAAAAGACAAAA